TTGCCAACTTCTACGGTGGCTGTGAAACATCCAACAGTTGTTAATGGTATCTGTGATGTGTACGGATAAAGCCTCTTGGTACTCTTAGTAGATTTGCAGATGATTTTGTCCTTCTTCAGTTTCTCCCACAATATCTGATCTATTACATTGCAATCACTTCCCGAATCTACTATCACTGGGACTGTGACACCTCCAATGATTATTGGGACTTTCTCATGATCACCATTCACAGCAAATTGATAGTACCTCTGATCACGGCCACGGCTGTTGTCATCATCACTATCATGTCCGGGTTCACCTTCCACTTGGCGAACTCTATTCTTATACTTCTTTCCATCTCTGGACTTCCCATCTCTGAATTTTCCTCTCGCCTCACTTGTGCTCTTGGCCTTACTTTTGCACATCGTCGCAAAGTGGTTTTGGCCTCCACATTTCCGACAGATCTTTCCTTTGGCTGGACATGATGCATCCTTCCCAAAATGTCCTTTGTTCCCACATCGGTAGCATTCCAAATTCTTTTTTCTGTCATTCTCATACGATACTTGGTTCACTTGAACTTGTCCACCAGCTCTAGGCCTTTCTCTCTCTCTCAATGACATGGAGTTAAATTGACCTTCAACAGCTTCTAGAGCAGCAGCCATGGACAATGCATCATTTAACTTGAGCTCACCTCCTTTCTCCAGCATTCTCCTGCGAAGTTTATCAGCTCTGCAGTACTGAACTACTTGGTCAAGAATTTGGTTTTCTACATCCCCAGCTACGAAATTGCATCCAATAGCAACCTGTCGTAATTTGGTAACAAATTGGGCAACCGTTTCACCATCTTCCTGCTTTGTTTTCCTGAACAAATGTCTTTGAAACGTAGCATTAGGTTTGACAACATAATGAGCATTTAGGGCATCTGTGGCTTTTTGATACTCATTCCTCTCTCCTTTATTGGGAAGTGTTTTGAAAGTCTCCCTTACCACAGGCCCCGCAGTGTACAGCAACAGTGCTCTCCGTTGAGCCTCCTGGGCCGGCGTACATCCGTCCAGAAACAGGCCGCGACTATCGGCGTAGGCCTCGAACTCTTCAAGCCAAGCTTTCCGCTTGCCGCTGACAATACTTGCACCACCCGTCGGATCGAAGTGTGGAACTCCTCGAAGCGCTAACAATTCCGCTCCAGCGAATGCCATGTTGAAACTTTTCCAGCTCGTAGCCACAGATTCAACATCCAAGAAACATTAATCCTCGTCGCCAATGTCACATATTAAGTGCAAACAAACTAACAATGTAGTTGAATTCCATAAACCATAGTCTGGTGTTTTTTCCCCGCACTGGGTATCAAGTCACGCGTATCGCATATACATCGCGCACATGCGATCTGACCTCCTGAGGTCACAGGTGTCACATTTGCATAATCTGATACATATTCATTATCATGACACGGATTACCATATTTTTGGTGTACTTTTTCCTTGTTGGGCTGTTACCCCACCCCCCCAAAAAACACACACACACACACACACACACACACACACACACACACGCACGCAGTTTGCTCTTGTGGGCCATTGACATAGACAATGCACATCTTGTAAACAAGAATGACAAATTGATGCCATTTGAAGGCATATGAGACATACTCACAAATCAGATAGAATTCTCTCTGCACCTGAAGATATATAACTCCCAAGCTAAGATTGAAAGGTATTCAAGGTAGTATATTATGATTTATGATATGATTCCTGAGTTTATATTTCATTTCAACAATCACTTGCTCATAACCAGGGACATCTCCCTGCTCCAACTCTTCCCTAAATATTTTCCCGCTAGATTTTGCTCCTGGATGTTCTAGAGTTTTTTAAATAAAAGACAGGTTATCCATTCTTGATTAGATTTGCAAATGAAATGAAATTTTTTAAAAATGAGAAGAACTGTTACATTATTGTGTACTGTAAAAAATGCAATTGCAAAAAATTCCTACTATGTGGTGCAATTTTTAAAAATCGGGTTCTCACATCCAGCCCTTCAAGTGGATCATGCTCAAAGTTAAACCCTCAATTTAACCAACCCTGGATTCGTTATGGTTAATTTGTTAATCCCCCAAGAATTGACTTCAATCATCAATGAATGCGACACTGTAGAGCTTTGGGATGTTTCCTTAAACAACCGATAGCTGGAAACTCAAAACAGACTTATATTTTTAATAGTGGATGCGCACTTGAAAGTACCGATTCAGGGTTTAGAAGAAGAAAAAAAAGATAATACATGGCTAAATGCATGCATTCGTAAGTAAAGTCACCTCGATCAACTATTGCTTAAACACTTTGGGTCATGTCAATTAATGGCACGTATACTGCCAAGGCGAGTACAGTTTCTTAGCCTTTAAATCAGTCATTTATTGAAGTTAAAATAATTTTGGTTAATCCACTTTCTATAGTAAACTATTATAGTAAACTATACCACAATCGCGTGATCTGTTCAAGGTTGTAAACCTGCATCCGATATCCTTCCGGGGGCTCTTCAATTGGTTACGATCATCATTCGTTATTATCTGCTGGTTCTTTTCACTTCTGAAGAGGCGATTCGTGTCCTCTCGAAAGCGTCCCGGAAGCGTTATTTTTTTATGCGGCACAGATTGGGGCTTTTTTTAAAAGGGGTCTTGATTTACAGACTAATACTGGTCGTGTGCGTACTAGACAGTATAAGTAGTAGAGGTCTGTTTTTAATAGTGTTACATTTAATCCACTACCGCATGGAAAATTATTACATCAACAATTAAAATCAAATTGGAAATCTGAAGAGGAGGCAGCACGTCAATAAGGAGAACATCACAATAATTAGTCAATAAAACTTAACTAATAGTTCGCGATGGATATACAAACTTCTTCGCAGCGCTAATGCGCTAGCTATAAACATGACTAGTCTCACGTACGTGCAGACACTATTCAGAAGGGAAAGAACGTACTTCCCATAGGTTTAACACGCGCCATGCCCCAATCTGTGCCGCATAAAAAAATAACGCGTCCCGGAACTAGACCGTTGACCGTTGATAGTTGACCTTCTTTACGCGGCGTAGAAGGTCAACTAGGGATATGTCTACTAATTGGCGTAGCTATATGGGCTTCATATGGGACATTGCTCCCAAATCGAAAGGCAAATGGCAGGGAGGTGGGGGGGGGGGGCAGAAAGAGGGAAAGAAAGCGTGGGGAAAGGTAAATAAAGGATATAAAAGAGGATATGGCCCAACTCCTCTACGTGGTGGCCTCATCCACCTCCATGGGTATATAGGCCTACTTCATCTGAGCTCTTTGCCACGTAGAGAGATGACGCAAGATCGATGATGGAACTTTGGGCTTACCTGGGAACATTAGGAAAGACTGGGAAAAGAGAAAATTAGAGAGAGAGAAAGAGAGAGAGAGAGAGACAGACAGGCAGAGACAGACAGAGACAGAGAGACGGAAAATAAGCGAATAAGAGTAAGAGAGAGGCGGTGAGAGAGATAATTAAAACATTAGTACGAATGTACATGCCTAAGATAATTTGAAACATGACAAATTCAAGCTAGCTTTGCTTTTGGTTCATATTCGGTTCATGCATTTGTGCAATTTTGTTTGAAGGCTGTAATGACTTAATCAGGCTCTGTTTTATTTATTCTGTGCACGTATCATTGTTGACTTTGGAGCATATTTTAGTATAATTGGTGTCCTGATTGGATGTTATTGTAAATCCTGCAAGGATTATTATTCAATCTTTTGGGTAAATATGTATGTATGTGCATGGAAAGCATGAAGACACACCATACCATTCAAACGATTTATTCCAGAGGCAAGTAATAGTTTCATCAGCTCCATCGATCACCTCACAAGCATGGCCAAACATTGGTAATTTCATCATTACACGTACCCAAGCAACCTTAACTAGAGCGATGACAAACTGCTTTCTTTCTCAGCTCCGTTATCCCTCTCCCATCAGCAGAAGCCTGAGATAATATCACCAGTTTTCTCCCTGGGTCCCCAGACTCCAGAGAATCGTGCCATCGCATCATCTCCAAAATTTGATTTCTCCCTTCCGTTCTGGTCTCCTTCGATCCTTCTCCCTGGTGGCCGTTGCTGTTTGACGAGGACTGGAGGAAAATGAAGAGCCTTCTGTTGTCTCGCTCCCACTGTAGTGATTATTTGCTCAGGTTTTCACCTTGCCAGCTGGAGAGGGTGGAAGGAATATTATGGTTTCGGTAGAAGGTTTAAGTAGTGATGGTGTTGGTGATGATAATAATGTGGTTGGATGATGATGATGATGTTGTTCTTCTTCATGGTAGTTGTGTTAGTGATGGTGATGATGATGAGATGGAAGAGGATGAGAAGGAGAAGGAAAAGGAGGAGGAAGAAGAGCAGGATAATTATGATAATAATAATAATATTGGATTCTAAGCATTTTGGACTCTGTATTTTCTGTTAAATTGTGAGTATTTTGACACTCCTTATATGTTTCTGACTCTTGCTTCAGTCAAGTAAAACTAATAATGCCTCAAAACCATGAAATAGTGAAATTTGGACTCAATTATTACCATTTAGAGGATCAAAAGTGACGATAGTCCCTAACACACAACATTTTGTTTACAACCTGCTTTTCTGTATTTCCCAAACAAACTCAAAGTAACTTTACAAGCGCACGTATCGACCTTGCAAAGGTCCTCAATGCGATGATGATGATGATAATGATGGTAAAGTAAGTCAAGAGTTTGAGGAATTCATAAGAGCTCATCTTCCATAGCCACAAACTCTGGCATGTTTACTTTAAAAACGCAATTAAAAAGGTCAGAGTGCACGTAATCCAAACAATATTTCTCCACATGATTTTTGTTCATCATCACTCCAGTCCTAGCAGGAGTAATATATTTCAAAGATATGTACAAAATCAATATATTTGTCACTTTTTGTCTGTCCATTTAAAAAATTGATTGACCATAGCTTTGTCTTTCTCCTCTCTTTCTCTCTACTTCATTTAATTTTCTGCAGCTGACAGTCGTCCAGCGGGCTATCCCGAGATCACGTCCAGTCCAAGACTTAGTGTGGTGGTGCAGGTAGACCGACCGGCGACCATCTTATGTGGAGCCACCGGCAACCCTGAGCCTGAGATCCTGTGGTTCAAGGAATTTGTACCCATCGAAACTAATGACAGGATCTCCATAACGGATTGTAAGTTGTAATGTGACCAATATTTAAGAATGAAAGCTTGATATAAATGTGGAGTTTAAGACAAAGTGATGCTAGCATGAGGTATATGTAGAAATATACAATTTTGATGATTTCAAAGATTTCCAGAGGTTAAGGAACACTTCCCCGATGCTTTTGTAATACTACGTTGGATGTTAGGACAACTAGACATCATGAAGTAACTTTCAGAACTCATGTTTGATTTTGCAGCAGGGCATTTCTTATATGCTTCTCTTTTTAATGAAAAGCTCTAAGTTTACGCCTTTTTATATCACCCCTAAATCCCTGTCTTTGCATGGCAAGTCATACGGTTTCATTGGCATGGTTTGAGTGCATGACATATTCATAATTCCTGCAAAGTTCTACAGAATTTGATGTTGGCTGCAAAATGGACATAGTATCTTTAAGGTTTTATAAGCCTTAATATTTTCCCTATAATTTCTTTATTCTAAAGCAACATAATTTATGGAATCGTATCTTCCTGTTTTGTTGTAGAGCAAGTATTATGTGAATCTTGAACAATCAATCAATGAAACTAATTTCATATTTTGTTGTTCCTCCTCTTTCTTTTGCCACTACCAGCGGGCCTTCAGTTTTCCAGAGCTCAGCTGTCTGACCAGGGTCACTATGAGTGTGCCGCGAAGAACTCCCTGGGAACACGCTACTCTTGGCGTGCTCAATTCTATGTCAGAGGTAAGTTCTGTCACTGGATGAATCTTTTCTTCTTTTCTTTTAATGACAAATTTTAGATATGAAAATATATAAGAATCAAGATACTGGATTGAATCATCCTCTTTCTGATATTTTAGAATACAGTTGGCACTTGTAAACAATGGAGATTTTTAATTTTGTGTGTCATTGAGTTACATTAAGAAGTGTCCTGTTGTCTTTGATACACTGTACTTATTACCATTCTTGTCCTACCCTCAGATCGTCGAGTGGAGCCTCGCTTTACCATCCTGCCTGTGAACCAGGAGGTGGTACCAGGAGGCAGCGTCAACCTGACCTGTATGGCCTACGGCTACCCGATGCCTAGTGTACGGTGGATGAAAGCAGGTATGGACCTGGACGACTTGGACAATCTCCCCCTCGGGCGCAATGTCCTGAAGCTAGGGGACATATACGAGTCCGCCAACTACACCTGTGTGGCAACGAGCTTGCTGGGGACCATAGACACCTCGGCTAGAGTCACCGTGAGAAGTGAGTTGCTGGAACATTTTATTGCATGAATTACAGCTGAAGATCTTTATCTTCTTTTTTTATTTTATCTGAAATTATGAAACTTGAATATGAAAACTGAAGCAGTGTTATGTTCTGACGTATATAGGCCATTTGCACCCGGCTAGGGGATGCTACCCTTTGCGTTGACTTGAAAAAAGCACTAGTTTATATACAGCATCTAGGCTAGGAACATCCCAATTTACAGCCTACTGACTGCAAGCTGCTGAGGGGCTGTGTAATTTTTTCTTTCATCAATGAGAATGAATATGAATATGTTTGTACCATGTTATTGATAATTGTAATATCTATAAATAAAGTGTATGTACATGTATTGTAACTTTATTGATTTTGAAAGAAACCATTTCATTATCACCTTAACTTTCTAGACTAATGTTTTAACAATTGTTTTCAAATTAATTGATAAATTATTAAATAGTACCCTTTAAAGGAAAAAAACAAATTTGTTGCCGATTTGAACTAAGTAAGTCTTGTTTGGATGCGAATATCAGTAATTGCACTATATTAACCCTGATAGAATAATAAAACATAAAGGAAATGGAGCCAGGAAATCAGACTGTGGCTTGTCCAAACTGCAGTTTCAGCTGATTTTGAGCTATCAATGGGCCTTGAATTTCCTGCCTTGAGTAATGGACTGACCCATCTTCTCTGTCAAACTGCCATTTGCTTTTATTTGTATCTGTCTATTGTCAACTCATGTTCTTGTTATTCATTCTATCCATCTTTTCTTTTCTGCTGCCTATATCATATAAAAAAGTAAGAGAGAAAGAGAGAGTTGAAGTAGTATTGAAGTAATACATATAATTATGTGTATAGATAGAGAGACATGAAGAGGGAAAGAGAGATAGATAGATAGATAGAGACACAAAGAGAGAGAGAGAGAGAGAGAGAGAGAGAGATGGAGAGATGGATGGGATAATCGAGAGAGAGAGAGAGATGGAGAGATGGATGGGATGATCGAGAGAGAGAGAGATTTTGAAGATGGACAGCAAAAATACACCTCTATGGGGAGAGGAAGTATGATTTTGAGCGAGGAAAAGTGATATATGAAAGGAGAAAGAGAGAAAGAGAGAAGCAGAGAGAGAGAGCAAAGAGGTAATGGAACATGTAAAGTACATAACTTTATAAGGCAATAGAGATTGAAAGACAAAGAGTGATATTTACGTACATGTGTCAAGGTTGATGTCAGGATATGCCAGCAATCCCAGATTAGTTTCACTTCTGTAAACAGGGGTCAATGTTCTTTTCAGGTTCACATTTTCAATTTATTTATTTTTAATCATTTGTATTCAGTCATATCCCAGCAGTGTGCAGATTTCCAGTGTATGTACAGTTTCATTTGACTGGTGTCAAAAGACTTAATTATTTCGTTCATGGAAGCTCCTTTTAGGAGATCTGCAGCAGATCTGTAGATCCCCTCTTGATTTTGTCAGAATCTTTATTCTTTATCTATTTATTCTATCTTTCTGTACATTTTTGTATATGGTCAGATTTTCCGCCCGATCACCATAAAATGTTCACCACTAATTCCCGTTGGTCAAAAATAGAAAAACCTCTCCCTCTCTGTGTGATCACTCAACCGTGAAATCAGCTAGGTTCCATTTTGTGAAATTGTATTATCAATCATATCTTCCTAACTCGCCATAAAAATGAACAAAATTTGGTACACATGTATTTCAGGTCAAGGGTCAATATCAACGTATATAAGTGTCTGCGTGTGCCTCGATCATCACGTGCAGGTCAAAATTATAAAACGCTCAAAATCACTTCATGGTCAATTTTTAGAGTACATTTCTGGCCATTTGGCGCATTTAAATTTTTGTTATTCGCATCCCCAAGCGTTTTTGTATGCAAATTATGTACAGAATATAGAAATACTCCTTTTTTCGCATGGATCAGATTTCTGATACTTATCTTAGCAACTTTACCAAATTTTAGTCCGTTATTAATTAAAATGATGTCATACATACGTGTTAAAGATAAAAATCTATGCGCGCCTAAATTTGCCAAAATCTAAAAATAGTCGAAAATATGTTTGTTTTATAATTGATTAAAGTTCTTAATCAAGTCCATGAACTCCCAAATTTATTTTAATATTAGGATAGAATATGAGTTGTAGATAAGATTTCATGTCTCACATGACCGTATTTGTTATTGTGACGTAATCATATGGCCCTTCAAAGTCAGATATATAGATTTCAATTGATTACATTCTATTTGACTATGTTTTTTTAAAGATATTTTTTGATTTTCATTGGACCATATCGCCGTTATTCGTGGCCAATTCCCCCCCCCCCCCCAATTTTAGTATGTTGTAGCTGAGAGTATATTCTAGAAGACATATGACAATTATTTTTAAATTGGACGCCGAGAGCATACCGGTAATTACATTTTTCATAGAATGTGAAAGGAGAAATCCGCTATGTGGCAAGAACATCCAATGCCTGTACAAACTCTATGGCCAATTAATTATTTTTTTTTAAAATCCCATGAGAGATATCTTCTAGATAAATTAGACTCATGCTAAATCCTTCTCTGGTTTATGAGTTATTGCATTCTAAATTTGGTGAACAAAGCATATTTGAAAATTCATTCATTTGAAAATTAATATAAAAAGTTATTTTGTCTTCATACTATAAAAATTAATAATAAAATGATTGCCGTGCCATATGTTATACTTGTATTGTGACTTTAACCTCTTGATATATTTCGAGATCATTGTTCTAACTTATAACTAGTCTACCTTTCTAATTTGACAATCTTTAACACATCTTTCTTAATTTCCAAGCTGTTAGACCGGAGCTCTCTGAAGCTGTCTGTAGCGAAAGCAACCCATGTCTGAACGGAGGTACCTGTGAGAACTACACTGTAAAAAAATAATAGTCGAAATAACTCAATAAAATTGAGGAAAAGAATTGCCTAATTTTTATTAAGTAAATATTACCTACGGCATCTTAAGTAGAATTTACTTATTTTGCTGAATACATTTTTACTCAGTTAAATCGAGTTACATTAACGTAAATAATTTAAGTATTGTAATCATTTTAGATAATTAAAAAAAAGCTATGATAGGATTACATATTGCACGATTTGGTACCCATCTAATCTAACAAGTAACATCCACTAATCATTCACTACTTCTATTTAAGATTTAACCGTATATATATATATATAAAATCTACCACCATCACAAACTATTACATACGCTTCAATTCGACACATAATGAAAGGCTCCAAATTTTATATATACTTGATCGTAGCATCTTAAAAGGAAAATTGGTTGACAATTTTCTGAAATATCAAGTTTTGATTTGTTTTGAACTGGGTAACAATTAAAAATTGTCTTGTCTTTGCTTAGCCATGTTAAATGAATTAGTAAATGTTTTAAAGTCCTTAAATTTTTATTCAACCACAAAAAAGAATTGTTTTATTTAAAAAAAGAGTTTAATTTGGTCTTAATGGTATTCATAAATTATGTAAATATTTCTATTACGCACTGCATCGGTCCTTACTTTAAAAAGATAAGAATAATCAACATAAATTGTTTGAGTAATACGTATAATTTCTGATTTTGAGTTAAAATTACTAAATTAATACATGCTGAAATTACTTAAAGTTCTTATGTATTTGATTTTACTTAAATATTCCACGTATGTTCTACTAAATTGAAAGTTTGAGTTAGCAAGACTTAAATTTAGTGCGTAAGTGGCAAAACTAATGTTTTCAAGTAAATTCTACATGGAGAAAATACGTAAAAATTACCAATGAACAAATTCTTTTTTACAGTGTATGCATGTACATGTGCTCACGGATTTAGTGGAGATCTGTGTAATTCAGGTATATAAATATCTATTGTAAAATTTATTAAGCGCTTTGGGGTTTCATCGTATTTGTAAAATAAGAGTTTGCTTCAAAAGAAAATAATATTTACTTAATAATAACAACTTAATGCCATGTTATCCTCATATTGTGACTTTAACCTCTTGATATGTTCAAAGACCATCAGGCTATAATTTTTATGTTAAAAAAAAATCATTCATTTGAAAATTTATATAAAAAGTGCTGTACTGCATTTTTCGACGTCATGCTTTGTCTTTATAATGCATCATTATTTAGAGGATGCGCGTGTGTGACTGTGTGTGTTTGTTGGTTTAATTTGTTTGGGTTTTTACAGACTCACGTGTATCGATCAGTTATGATTATTTACCTCTGGGACCTAACGTTACTATCTGAAAGACGTGACCCAGTTCCGAACCGGGGTCTGCCTGAGCTAGTTTGTAGGCGAAGACAGAGAACTGACCAAGTGAATGTGCTGCTAGACTATTTGTTAAAGAGTGGGTGTGTGCTGCCACCTTGACGTAAACAGTACGTTATACATACAACTATACCAATACCCTAACGCCAGCAGAGGAAGAATCTGTTTAGATGTACAAAATGTCTTGTTTGACAATTACATTGTTAAATGTTGATTTAGTTAAGATTTGATGTAAATGTACTTGCACTTGCAAAATTTGGTGAATGCTTTTTTTCTTACTCGATAGAATTAAGTTTGATGTCAATCTATTGTAGCTGCATGGCCAAGGATGAAATGACACATCCCAGTTTTCTTGCTCACTGGATTTTGATAGGGCACTGCTTTTTTGGAAGAGGCATATCCAAATACATGCAATGAACACATCACCATCCACTGACATATTTGTTCTGTATATCACAATGTTTCATTGTAATTAAATAAAGACAGTTGCTATACAAAATTTGTTTTGGTTTTTCTCATTTCTTCACTGTATTTTCTTTCTTTTACTTTCCTCATCCCCTTTTCATTATTCATTACTGCTCTTAAGTTCTATATATTTGCACTCTGTCCATTGATTTCTTCTGTATCCCTCAGTATTCTTATTCTTATTTTTATTTTCTCCTCTACAGTAGTTTGCCCAGTGGTTACAGTTACTGCTCCGGATGACCTCGAACAGAAGATTTGTGATTCTGACAACAGTAAGTACTCACTATCACCATTTCTCACTCACTCTGATACCAGTGTCAAATTATCACTCAAACCCAAAGTGGTACACCGCCCTATAAAAACTAAAGACGCTGCAACAAAATGAAATTACATCAGCACATGCAGTGTGCTTTATATTTCTAAACATTTACCCCCAGATATTCAAGTAGGGTAAGGGAACTTTATAACGTGCTGATACTTTTTCCACCCTCACCTGTTGTACATTTTTTCTTCAAATGGTTTTATTTATCCATGGCGTTTACCACATCATGTGGAAGCGAGGCTTAAAGGTACTATGTCCCATTTGCAGGCCAAAAAAATGAAAAGGTTAAATTCCAACGGCATTTGAAAGATAATACTAATTTAGAACTTCCCTAAAAAAAGGGGCTTGAAAATGTCTTTAAGTGGGTAAAAAACGACAATTAGTTGTCGAGTCTAGTCTAGTGAAGTCTAGCAAGTAATCGGGTTTCCTTGCATAATTTGAATATTAGGACACTGCTAACGTTTAAATTTCACAGATAGGACATACACGATATATTCATAATTTCCGCAACGTTCTACAGAATTTGTTGTTGGCTGCAAAAAATGCTAGATTAGTTTGTCTGACTTCTTCCTAATTCCTTGATTGGTTTTGTGTACGACCTTTATCACTAGGTCAACCATTGTCAACGACACTTTGAACGAGATACTAAATCATATTGATGTTCAATTTTAACCCTTCAAATTTTGTAACTATTTATCAGTAAACATACAAAGATCTCACATACTTCTTTTGTTTGTATGTATGTTTATGGATGTGCATGAAGTACTAAATTTTTTAACTCATCATGTTTGTTTGTTTGACAGTTTTCATCGTCAAGGTAAGGCCAGATGGACGAGCCAAGATTCTGAATGATTTGACAAATTCGATAAACCTGTATGCAGATGATCGTCCCATCGTCGGATTCATCAGGAACGATGTCTGTAACGTTGAACTGACAGGTGAGATATATCTGAATCGATCACACTTCATCAGCTTATTTTTAGAGACTGAAGTGTTTGCAGTGTAGTGCTTTTGTGGCGGGGGGGGGGGGACAAAATTGCACCGGGTGAATATTATATGAAAAACGATGGGGCGAAGCGACAGCGGCGAGGCGTCAGCGGCGAGGGACCGGACCGACCAAGCGGGGTGGGTCTGGGATGGGTGCGAAACCCCTTCCCTGAGTAGGAAGCATTTGCAATTTAAGAACCACATTAGGCGCATTTTTCAGGCACTTCCTGGAGTGATATGACGTCAAATTGCTTTCTCCTACCCCTTCAAGACTAGGGACCTTTTGCAATTTGGGAAACACATTTGGCGCTTTAATGTCCACCGGCACTTCCTGGAGAGAAAAAAACAAGGCCTTCTGATTGGTTAGAAGTTAGAGAAAAGTGATCGGTCTCGTCGCGAGACGTTGTATAATGTTTTTTGATAGAATTAATGCCCTTCTGGCTCTTAACAGACAATGTGATTGGAATGATTTGATATTGCACGGTTGGTATGGGATAAATAAGGATTCAGGAAATACCTTTAAACTCTTGTATTATGCATTTCGATGAAACACGCCATTGTAGTTGCTTGCTCAGTATTACTAACTTTGACATTTGGCATGGATTTTTCAAATAGTGAATAATTAATGTCTTGTAAACTCACAGTAAACAAAGTGCATGAATTTTCATGTACTTATGATTCTTCTTTTCTCTGTGCAGAGGAACGCTACATGCTGTTTATGGCTGGAGAAGCTGTAAATGTGCCTGGCAAAAAATTCACGCTTGACCACACCGTTCTTGCAATGCCCATGACTGGTGACCTCAAGGTTAAGGTAAAGGAGATCCGTCCCCTCTGCCCCGTTGCCTAAAGAGTTCCTAATAGATAACCTTGAGGGATTACAGTACATCTCACTCCACATCTATCTATGGCTCAGACAAGGTCCATACATGATTTTTTTTTTTATTGTTTCATCCACCAGTTGCTGATGTCTGGAGTTAATGAAAAAGAACCTTAAGTAGCTCTAAGATGATGTAACATTTCCATGGAGAATTTGTGTTACAATACTTTCTAGAAGCTAGTCAATATGGTTTTATTATGTATAAATAAAATAACATGAACTTTACGTAATTTGACACATGTCAAACTGTTCATGTAATTGTGGTATGTAAATCATTAGTGAGGTTTTTTTTATTGTAAAAGAAGACTTGGTTCTTTCAACACTTGCATTGCATTGTTAGAAACCTGTGCCTTTCAGTTTTTCACATGTACAGTATATTTTTTCATTGCACATCTTTTGATGGGTACACAGTCAAATGCATTTTAAAAAGAAATTAACCAATTTTATGAGCAATTAAATTGAGAAGAGTCTATTTTACCACTTGTAATCATGGGTGGTATTCTGGTAGCGCGTACTAAGTTAGCGCATACTTAGTTAGTTCGCACTTTTATGGAATGCCTGTTGCAAACTCATTTATCCTGTACAAATTATTTTAATCCTCCAATGAAAAATGTCCAAAAAATTAATTTTGCAATGAAATGCAAAGAAAAAGATAATATGAGTATGAACTGAATTTCAACAAAGTCTTTGTTAGATTATCTTTGTCATGAATATTAAAGAAGAAAGATGAAACCTAGCATTCCATAGAAGTGTGAACTAAAATTCTTGTTTAGTCTGGACTTAGTCCCGACTTAACTTATGAGAATACCACCCCATGTCTTTAAATACATGGTATCCAACACACTTTTACAAAAAGCTGTGATTAATATACATACATGTATTTTACTCTCCATTTTGTGAAGTCTCTGGCCCACTTTTTTCTGCCTCCCACCCCTTCAACTCCCCCTCTTTCCCCCTCCCCACCTCTTTCCCCCTCCCCACCTCTCTCTCTCTCTCTCTCTCCCTCTCTCTCACTGTATCTTATTAAAGTTTGTAGATATGTTTTATGTGGGAGTGTGAAAATCATCAAATTTTGCAAAAATGCTTGGAGGCTTATTTTGTGAGCTATTTCCCCTACATACCTTTTGAATAGATGAAGATGATGAACGAAATATGTAATACTTCAATGAAAGTGGGAAGTGAGTGCATGTAAATTGATGAATTATGTTCTTTCTGTAACGAGTTAGTAAATTATACAATGTCATATAAAATACATGTTTGCATGATGAGCTGGAACCAAAATGATGTTACGTGTAAAAGTCATAAAAGTCCTTCACGCCCTTAAAGTGCCCATTTTTCATGATCATCCTGTGGGGAGTATTTAGGGTTTTTTAAAGATTTTTTTATGAAGACCTGTTGTTCCAAACTTCCATTCCATTTGTACCCATTTGCACACACTTGCAATTTTTTTCTTTCTTTACTTTCTTTCCACTTTTTATTTAGCCACTTTCTGAACGAAATTTGTTTACGTGACACTCTATTCTCCTACATACTCCTATAAAAGCGCCATGTACCCCCCCCCCCCCCCCGCCCTTCCCGGCTGCTATCGACTCAAGCATTCATGCTTATGATAGTTGGCCTCTGCATTTATCTTGATTATTTTACTTACCTCCATACTTTCAAGTTTTCAATTACATATACCGGTATATATATGCATTTTTATGTGTGTGAATTTAAGTTTTCACTCTTCATGTAAAGCAATTATATTATATACTAATATTGTTATTTGAATGTTTAATATTTGATTCATCAATAAATGCAGAAACATCTGCTAACTTGTTTTAATTTTTTTTAAAGTAAGGATACATCGTCGCTTTGGGAAATCTTTTTTTTTTAAATTCCCTTGTGGATAATTATATGTTAAATAACTGATGGATACTGATATTAAATGGAAGGGAGTCATATAGCTCACAACATAATCATTTTGAGTGAAGTTGTCTCTTCTTTTGTTCTGATATTCTTAGCATGGTGGAAGGCGTTGACTTGTGGAATGTAAACCGAGCAACTGGTGATATGTAATCATAATTAGAAAGCTTTACACTACCAACAACAAAAATACCATTCCTAATCCTTTCACAAATCTTTCCTACTTGGTCCTTCTGGGTTGATACAATCATGTAGTCATGTAGGGGTGATCCACAAGGGAGAGAAATTTCAAATTTGGGAATGACCTGTTGTAGACAGACTTTTGATATACTTTGTGCAGCCAGGGGCGTACGCAGGATTTTTTCAAGGGGGGGGGGTTTTAAAATATTTTGCTCCCGAAAATTTGAAAATCGCGCCGGCCGAAAAGTCGCTCAGTGGGGGGGGGGGGGGGGGGGGGGGGGGGGGGGGGGGGGGGGGCGGACACTTTTTTTTTTTTTTGGTCTCAAAATTTCAAAATTTGACATTTTTTTACGTATGGGGGGGGGGGTTAAGGTCACCTTATTTAGGTTAGCCGTGGGTTATAATTTTTTTTTTTTTTTTTTTTTTTTTTTTTTTAAATAAAAAAAAAAAATAAAAAAAATAAAAAACCCAAAGGGGGGGGGGGGGGTTTTAGGTTTTTTTAGGGGGTTTACATACATTAAAATACCAAAGGGGGGGGGGGGGTGAACCCAAAACACCCCCCTGCGTACGCCCCTGTGTGCAGCTATACTGCGCGTACCGTGGAACAATGAACCCAGGTCACTATTAAAATCTTCAAAGTAAAAACATGAATTTGCCCACAATGGAACAAGGGCTTCACTTTATGTACGTAGTGCGGTGAACCGTGGACATTAGAACTACAACAATACCATACAGTTCCTCTATCCTTAAACAGAAGTGTTTAAGACAAGTAATATATCAGCTTTCCTCAAACATGTAGAGGATATAGAGTGTGAAAGCAGTATGAATGAGGCTTCATTCAATAGTAAGAAATGTTGGAAATATTCATCTGGAAGGATCCCGATGAGGCATGGGTGCTATAAAATAGAAGAAAAGATCTATACTCTGATGCCTTCCAGAACTTCAAGTGGCTCCCAATACATCTTGTCATCTTGGATATACAGTGCGGCGGTGCTATTTGAGTAATACGTTCATCAACTTTGTCAATTTCTTTAGAAATGTTAAAGGTTTTCTTATGATGGGGACGAGTCAAACCACACTGAAACTAGCATTTTTTACAACACCTAATACGAGCCCGTGCAAATTATAATCTATTGCACATTTTCTATGATATTACATTTAGGGACAAAGAGAAACTAGCTATGGCCTTTCACACCATTGACTTGTTTCCCACTACATTGGGCATCATATATGCCGACTTTCTTGATGTCCTAGTGCATGGGTCCTCATTTCATGATGCCTAGTTTGTGTTGAAGATCAGTTCTAACTAGCCGCCCCCAGGAGTCCGGACAGTCTCATCTGGAGCCTTGCAGGAAGCACATCCCATGAAGCCATTGCATTGAGTACATTGCTTTGAGTAAATTCTTGGAATGCAGACATCGCTGGCAAGTCTAGGACAGCACTCAAGAAAACCACCCTCACAAGAAGCTCGCCACGCTCTGGATTTCAAGCCATTTCAGTATTTTTTTAGCAAGTTCTTGTAATAACGGCTCCTGTACATCAGTATTTCTGCTCACTAAAACTAGTGTTAAAGGTCTCCTGCAGTGGAAATGCATTTCAGCTTTTGTTGTGATTTATAATGTCCTGATAATCGCTTTGTGAATAAAGGAATATCTAAATATGTCACATACATTTTATGATTTTCTAATATTTCTTCTTCAACCTACTGGGATCCGCCCACAAAAAAAAAATCTTCCAGACAACTTTCCACTTGTGACATCACTTGTCAATGACCATCCAATTAATATTATCATTTCAATGGCCATTGTATGCATGTCTACAATACACATTCACCACTTTTCTTTTGCTGGGAGTGGTATTACATGCACCTGT